GGGGGGGGGGGACATACTTCGTGGCATCCAGGGAGAGCTCGGCCGGGTCGTACTCGAGGCCGGTCAGATCGACAAAGCCGGGGCCCATCATGACTGAGGGGTTCTCGTGGCGCTCGTGGACCATGCGCAGGATCTCCCGGGGGGAGACCAGGCGGCGGTCGGTCTCGGGGTTCGGGCCAACCTGGATGAGACGAAGACCTGCAGAGGGCGATGTGGGTGAGTAAATGCGCGGGCGACAGCGGGGCGCGCGCGGGCGGAGGAGGGAATCCGGTGGACAGGGAGCATACCAGAGGGGTCGGTCGGGAGGAAAGAGGCCTGGGCAGACGCGATGAGCGCGAAGAGCGCCATCAGGCCCCAGCAGGCAAGGGAGAGGGCCATAGTGGAGGGGGAGGGGAGGAGTGTGCGAACAGGAAAAGGGGTGTGTGGGTAGCTCGCTGTCCGATTGCCTGGACGGCCGAACCGGCACTGGGGGCTTTTCATCCACCCCGGGGTAGGGGGATGGCGCGCACCCGGGCCGAAGGGGGTCCCAGGACGGCCGTGTGTGTGTGTGCGTGTGTGTGTCGTCAGGACCTCCGCGTCTTCAGGGAGAGGGAGGACGTCTTGGGGAAAAGGCGTAGCATCCAGGGCTGGGCGAGGGAGGAAAGTCCAGGGATGGATAACGAACAACAGATGCCTGAGTCATACCATACACAGAAGACACACACCCACCCATCCGCATATGTGTCGCCCCGGTCTCGGAGGCAACACCCCGCCGGGGTACCCATGCCCGGGGGGGGATTTTATTCCGGGGACCGTGACTGGGCACTTTCGCCCAGGCACAGCGCACCGGCGGGGGGGGGGTGGGGGGGGGGGGGGGAGCTGGGGCGGGCAGGTCATCCCCCGCGAAAGTGGCGGCCGGCGGGCGAGAAACTCACCGACACGGTGTAAGCCGGGCCGCAGATGTGTCAGCAAGGAATTTGTATGCGCTCGGAGGGCCGCCAAGTCTGACCAACAGACAAGGGCGAGGCCTGGCTGGACCCCTGCGGAAGAGACGTGCCGTGGTCGGGAGCGAGGGGGGCCATGAGAAAACAACAACAAAAACAATGCACAGCCCAAGCGTCGGCGCCTGGGCAACACGGTCAGATGACGACCTCGCGCACATACGCGCCTCTATGCCGCGTGGAGGGCTCCTGCCGGGCCCCAGGCCCGCAGGTCAGTCGCCCCCGCCGCCCGCACGGTTCGGGGGTGGCTGTTCGTGAAGTCCCGTCGTACGCGCCTCCTACCAAGAAGCCCTGCCTGGTCGCCGGAAGCCCGGCCTCGCTGCCCGAGCTCGTTGTCCGCCCGGGTCCCAACGGGCCCGGGCCGCCGGCATCCGTCGGCATATAAGAATCACGCGAAGATCACCCGGAAGATGAAATACCATTTCAGAGGACCCGAGATCCGCTGGCCACCGTGGCCCGGCAGGTCCCAATCCCCCGACCGCTGCCACACGCGCACACGCACATACGCACGCACCACCGCCGGCTGGCCGGCCGGGGACGACACCGCTTGTATGACGCGCCCGCCCCCGGCCCCGAGAGAAGGGAGTCGGGGTGTGGGGCTCTGGAGCGAAGGTTTTCTCCATCCACGAGGCCCGTGTGGCCATCTGAGGCCCCGCGTGCCCCCCCCCCCC